TATCCAAAAGCTCTTGCAATTGGGTTTTCAACTCGTTAAGTTCAGCGGGTGCCATACGGTATGGCGGTATGGAGATTTGTTTGGTGCCGGGCTCGACCTCGATCACAAATTCAATCTCTCTATCGGGTGGAAGTCCCGGTAAATCTTTTGGAAAGACATCCGGATACTTACAAACCACCCTCACATCGTCGATGTTCGTTTCTTCTTTGGTTTTGTCAACCACGTATGCTAGATATGCGTGGCATCCCTTTCTCATCATACTTCTCGCTCTCACGGCGGATATGATACAGCTATTTGATCTCCCCCGATCGCCCTCGAAGCGTAGGGTCTCCCCATCATTGCCTTCGAGTTCAAGAACCTTCGTGTAGCAATCTACCCTAGCATGGTTCCTTTCTAGCCAATCCATCCCTAGGATTGCATCGAATTCAATCATGCTCAGCGGTACGAAGTCACACGTCAAGGTTTGACCATTAACCTCCACCCCACAAGATGGATAGTAACAAGTTCTTTTCACGTCGTCCCCTAGTGGTGTTGATACCACTAAGGTTTGCATCAATGGTGCGGATTGCACTCCCAATCTCTTGGCGAACGCTTCATTCACAAATGAACGTTGCGCCCCGGTATCGATAAGGATTCGCGCATCCTTCCCATTAATCCTTAGTGTTCCTACATTCATGAATCGTGTAAGACATCTTTCCTACCCTCCCTACTCATTTATAGAAGGTTACAATGTTCACACGCACGTTAGGGATCAAGAAAAGGTCTTATCGTCGCAAAACGGTGCGAAAAAATCGCACTTCGGCAATCTGGGTGCCAGGCACGGCGTGCCTGGGGTAGGCACGATCGTGCCTGGCTCAGGAAAAAGCCCTGGGGGCTACTGCCTTGGAGGCACGATCGTGTCTGCCTTAGGCACGATCGTGCCTGGTTTGGAGAAACACCTGGGGAGCTACTGCCTTGTAGGCACGATCGTGTCTGCCTTAGGCACGATCGTGCCTGGGCTGGGGAAATTCCTGGGCAGCCACTGACTTGGAGGCACGATCGTGTCTGCCTTAGGCACGATCGTGCCTGGGTTCCAGCCGCCTGAAGTTGCCCGAAATCCCCCGGTTTGACCCCAAAACCTTGTGCAATGATCCTAACGATTAGTAACCTTAACTTTTGGACTAATTAAGGATAAAACACAAGTATACGAGAGGTGATACCTGAAACAGAATCCGGGTTAGCTTGAGCATCCGCCCCCGCCATCGCATGGACTCTAGCGTGAGTCCTCCCTTGATTCACAGACGGCGCGTTACTCACACTTGCTCCGCCATGTTCCTTACTTGCTTGAGAGGCCCCGGCTTGACTCCGTATGCCTATAGTCGTACTACTTGAGCCCAAAGTTTGGTCGGGTACAAGTTGTGGGCAATTCGCATTCGTGTGCCCGATCTCTCTGCATCGGTAGCACCTAGGAGGGTCCCAACACTTACCCGGGTGGTGCTTCTTACAATTTGTGCACTTAGGTACTCTTGAACCTTTTGACCTCGAGCTCTGGCCACCCGAGCCTCGGCTCCTCCCAAGCGATAATGTGTGTGCCCCGAAGGTTTTGTCACCCCCAACATTTGTCCTCCTAGAATGTCCTTGGGGGTCGTGGTCTCCCCATTTTCTTTTCCTTTCTAATGGTGCGTCCTTAGCTTGCCTAGCTTGGCGTTTTTGTATAAGCCTAGCACGTTCACGTTGAAGCCAATTTATGACCATGCCCATTTGTTCAATGGGTGCATTATCAAGGTCCTCATCACTCAAATCATCTCCTTCGTCACCCGAAGCCTTGAGTGGTTCAGTTTTGCCATAACAAGATGATTCTTCCTTGGTCTTAACGTGACCACCACTCACGATTTGAGCTTCAAGAATTTCATGCACCTTTGGTCCTAAGGGCTTTTCTCGGTTGGCATGCCCGGTTCCACCCGGTGCAAGCCCTTCCGAGTTCTCCCTATTCATAATACCACCATCACCCTCCATCGCTGAAAGAAATAATTAGAATGAGTCATTAGACTCGTTTCAAATGTCAACTGACAGATAGGCACTTAAGACATCTCTTGGGCCAAGTCACCGCCATACCAATCGTTAAGGGCGCCATCTTAACAATTAGAGACCTTGCAACTCAAACACCAAAAGTTCTTAAGTACAAAACGTTTTTGCTCATGGTTTTCAAAAATCATTTTGAAAAGAGAATTTTGAGACTTCATTATGAAGTTTATGGAACCTGGCTCTGATACCAACTTAATTGTCACGCCCCGGACCTATCCGGACACGTCAACAACCCGCCGTACAATATGAATAGTCAACCGCAGTCCAACACATTCATATTATACAAGGCGTCTTGAATATCATTCACACATGTACATCCATAAACAAACATAATAAGTAATTCATAACGCAGCGGAAAACATTGTTTAAAACAAAGGCCACACCGGGCTATTCATGAGCACGCAGGCTCTATAGTAAAATATCCATGAGCATGTTTATTAATGTTTAAAAACCGAATGGAGGAAGCACGAACCAAGTCTTCCCTCCTAGATGATCACTCGAGCAACGAGCACAGGAAGCAAGCTCTAGCCTCAACCTGAAAAATGGTAGTGGGACGCCCCCGAAGGGGTCAGCACTCTATAGGGCTATAAAGTGCTGGTGTGGATGGCATCTAATAGATATACAACAAGTATTTCAAACACAAGACCCTCAAATAGGGTGATAATATAATCTAGGCCGTAACCCCAAGTTACCCCTTTTCAAAAAATATACTTACTTTATATATAAAGTCAAGTAGTCGGCCCGTAGGCCCAAGGTTTGTTTATCAAACATACCCCAAAATCCCGTGACCCCTAGTCACAACAATACATAGGGTTCAACCCTAACACATATGTTTGCATTCTCGAGTCCAACTCGACTACATCACCACGCACAACAATCACCTCATCATGTCTACCCAATGCAATTCTATGAGCACGGCTCAAGTACATCTCCTTACATTGGCATAGACCCCAATTCCTAAGCACTACAATCTCCTCATCATGTCTACCCAATGCAATTCTATGAGCACGGCTCAAGTACATCTCCTTACATTGGCATAGACCCCAATTCCTAAGCACTCACTATGCCTAGAATTGTAATATCAATAATCTATTTTGGGACATCCTTACGGACTGCCCAACCATGGTCTTAGCATCGCATTACATCAATTTAGTCACTTGCATCACAATCAAGTTCATCAATTTCAATCAAATCCATAGATTCAATTCCTTAACAATTACAACAATCATTAACTAGTATTTCAATACTATTAAGATTATTCTTATCCATCATATATTCCATTTGTAAAACCCTACATATTTAGAGATATGTAGCAGCAACTTAATCATTCAATGTAATACATAAATAATCATTTATGTATCCACACAATTCACACATGAGTAAAGTGACTATTTCACACAATAGTTCATTTAACTCCATTTTTATCAATACTTTACCAAATCATTTCTCATTTCATTCTTTGGAAAATAGATCAATATTCCATCAATAATTTATCATCATAATCCATGGAAAACATTATTTAGGCATTTAGGTAATCTCATGCTTAACCTACAAGTTGTAAGCAACTAGATGTCGATCCTCACCTCAAATGAGCTTTAAAACCTCCCTTCTCGATCCAATGACCAAAGCCTCGGCCAAGGAAGATTGGGAACTAGTTCCTTGCTTGAAAATGGGTTCTAAACAGCCTCCTCAAGTTGCTATTTCAACCCCGAATCGTTGATACGAAAACAGCCCCTAGAACGGGTGTTTTCCGGCTAACTCGATTCCTAGTTTTCCAATATTTGCATCTAGGTTAGTATCTAACCTTTACATCAATAAAATAACTTAATAGGGATGTTTTATACACTTGGAGTAGTGTATAATAGTCCCACCAATCGTTCATATCATTTGGAAAATGAATGGAAAGGTTTTGGGATTAACAACTCACTTAGAAGAGTAAATCCGTTCCTGCGAGGTCGCGTTCTGCTCGGACGATTTGGAAGCCTTCCTCTACTCCGATTGATGCAAACCAGACCTTCACGGATTCCTCGTCTTGAGAGCTTTCTTTTGGTATCTCACACGCCTTAATTGGATTGGTAAAACTCGAGATATCAACCAAACAGTCTCAGCACTCTCACAGCTCGAGTTCACAGACCACTGCTCGCTTCAGATCGATTTTTGGATGACTACTCTCTCCTCTCGAACAGAGACCACTCAATTATGAAAATAGACTTCAAAGGCTACCCAAGGACACCTTATACACCTCATTTGGACGAGTATAACTCTCAAAATGAAGGGAGACAAAACAGCACACCTGTTTGTGCGAAAACAGTGGTGGTGGCCCCAAAATTTGATTCCATTTGTGTCATGGGCAGTGCTTCTCCATGTGGTGCGGCCAAGGTGAGTCTTCTCACATATTTTCCTTGTCTTGCAGGTACTAATATCATGTGGAGTGGTTCCCCATTGATCCCAATTATTTTGGGATCCAAAATATCTATCAATACACCCAAAAATGGAAGAATGGGTCCTATTGTTTTATCTTTTGTCAAAGATGTCTTTTTGTACTCATCCTAGTTTATTTAGAACAAGTCAACTTCCTACATAACATTATTGATCTCCAATATGTGTAGGCTCATCTCAATAATTTACTTGATGGATAATATAGAAGGAAAATCCTACTCCCATTATTTGGCTCCATAATGCCAAAGATGGGGTTATAGGCATTTGTGCTCTTCTTTAATCATCCTATCACTTATTTTGACATTTGTCATTCATATTATTGGGCTACAAGCCGTGTGGGTCGCCCCCGAGTGGGCCTACGACGCCGTCCTCAAATATTTGCTATTTTAGCAGGTTGGGCCCAAATAATATATGGGCTGCCCGCCCTTCCTCAACTTGTCTTGAAACGTTATGTATAACTATTTAGATAACGTTAGGATCTTTTATTTATTAATAAGGCCCCAACGAGTATTCGCAAGCCCAACACTAACGTACGAGTTCGAGCGGTAAGATAATCGATCATAAATTACGTAAAACATAAATCGTTTTACAATTGTTTGGGAATCAGAAATCCAATACATAAACTTTGAATTTTAAATCGAATTTTCAAGGACGTTCGGGAGCGGTGTCACATGAGCGGCCTCAGCTGCTGCAATCTTGGCTTGGAGAGCGCCCACTTTAACACGGAGCTCCCCTGCCTCGGCTTCTAGCTTCTTCCGCTCCTCAGCAAAAGCCCGCCGTTCGGCCTCGGCTGCCTGTTTGGCCGTTTCCTTGGCCATCAGCAAGCCTTGTTCCTTGGCCTGCCTGGTCTCCTTGAGCTTCAGGCTGTATATCCCTGCCTAATGATCGAAAAGAAAAGTATGAGTACATGATAAGCTGACAAAACGAAGAAAAAGGTAAAAGTAAATTATGAACAAGAAACTACCTTCAGGACAGTCAGGGCAATGCACTCCTCGATCTCCTCCACCGGTATTGGGGGAAGGTTGTGTCCATTGAGGAAACCAGAGGTGGACCAGATCTGGCTCGCTGGACAGCCACCCCTCTCCAGCATTTCATGAGCAGGATCATAGAGGGAGATCCGCTCGAACTGACTAGCCAGGTCAGCCTGATGGGCAGCCACCTCCTCAGCAGAGAAATGGTGGGACTGCTGATCAGAAAAAAGCTGATCCATCAGCGTGTCAGCATGGGTGTGCTGCTCAGGGACAACCTGCTGCACAGGTTCTACATCCCGAACAGCTTCAGACTGCTCGGGGACGGGAGGGGCGGATTGAGAGGATGTCCCCTGATCGGCCTTCCTCAACCTCTTCCTCTTTGTCTTCCTCTGCTGCTTGAGAGGAGAGGTTGGTGGCTCGTCGTCAAAACCAACGGTGAAAAGCCTGCTGTCATCCATGGCCGATTGTTCGGGATTGGCTCCTTCGGAATCTGAAGATTCGCCTTGCTTTAGAGCTGAAAAGATAACAAAGGAACAAATTAGTACCGAGCGGTTCACACGTGGATTAAAAAATTATATCACACGGGAAGGACCGCCCGGGCCATGGTACTTGGTTTTCAGTCAAGTAAGTCCAGGAATACGGGCAGTACCTATCCCGGCCTTAATTAGCCGTTCGGGAGTCAGGTAAGACATAATTTTGAAGCAGCCTCCTGCCTCCACAGCAATGACATCTCTGCTAAGCTCTTCGGAGATGAATGGCTCGGGGGATTTAGGAGGGAATGCGTTCCACTTCCTAGGAATCAAACCGTTCGGGACAGAGACAAAGAAGAACCTATCTTTCCAACCTTTGATGGAAGAAGGGGCATCGCAGAACAAAATATGTCCTGGTCGGGAGCTTACCACCAGAAAACCGTGGGACTGTTGGGGGATAACTGAAAAGAAATAGTGGAAAAGTTCTAGGGTGGGTGTGACCTTGACACTGTGGCAACGACAAATGAAACCAGCTATCGACCGGTAGGAATTCGGCATTATTTGGGCTGGTACTACATTGTAAAAATTTAAGAGAGAGACAAAAAAGGAGTGAAGGGGGAATCTAAGACCAGCCTTGATTGAGTCGAAATGGACCACAACCATCCCTGGGAAGTGGCGCATTGGGTGAAGACCCGATTGAAGACGGAAGTCCACCGAATCAGGAATTAACATCTGAATTTGGGCCCGATTCTGGGCCGTGAGCTTTTGGCGCATAAGCCTGATAAGAGCTAGGTCAAGCTTATGACAGGAAACGCCGCTTGGAGGACCGGCTTCCATGACTTCCAATTCATCTCCCGATTTGGTACCATCAGGGTAAACATCGGAGGAAGAGGAATCATCGCCATTAACCTCCGCCGGAGTACGGACAACTTGCAGCATATCGTTGGGGTTTTCTTCTGGAATTACAGTGCCGGAGGTAGAGGGTTCAGATGAACGAAGGGGTGCCATTCTCACCGAACGAGGGAACTAAACAGTAGAAGGGAACTCAAAAGATACCTGAACAGAAGCTGCGGATGAAGCTCTAGAGAGAAGGATGAATTATAAGCCGGAGGTGCAAAGTTTCGAAACCCAGAATCAAAACCAGAAGGGCCTATTTATACTCTGTCACGCCGATTCAGTTGCCAATCAAAAGAGGACACGTTTTTTGTAATGATGACGGATACACGTGTCACGCGGATAATCCTTCTCAATTAATCATGACGTTTATCGGAGAAGTGAAACGGCAGTTGCAAATAGCCGTCAGAATATGCCTCGGGAACCGGCGGAATACGATCCGATATTCACCCGAACAGCATTCGGGATAAAAACTTCTACTTCCTTATGCACTCACTACCGTTCGAGACATAGGAAGTGGGGGACTAGTGTTGGGATATCAGGTCCAGGCCCAATATCCCTAGGCCCAAATCCGGGAAGAAGCAGCGGGCCCAAGGCAGTCCAAAGAACTCCCGAACGGCATTCGGGATAAAACTTATACTTGGAACATTCCGAGAAACAATTACATCAAGGTGCCAATGCCCAGATACCGATCGGCGTTCGGGATATGTCCATAAGCAGGATAGCACCTATGGCGGGGTCCCACACACCGAACACCCTGCCCGAGCGGGCAATCAGCAAGTGGAGGCCGCATTTAATGCTGGATCATGACGGCAGCAAGTGGGGGCATGGGTGCATACATGGCAGAAGTGACAGCCTACCGGATTTGGCCACGTGTCCACCTCACCCATCCCTATTTTAGTATAAATACCCATGTTTAGATCATTGTAAAGGGTTAGCATTTTAATAGTCAGAGCTTAGCAATAGATTTACATCTCCCATCCTTGTAATCTCATATTCATCTACCGTTCGGGTAGTTTCAGTGTAATTGCTTAATTACAGAATATAAGTAAGTTCTTGAGTTGGATATTATTTCACTATTTTATATTTTATACACATTTCAACCCTACCCAATATCCCTACAATATCCAAGGCTTGTGTTGGGCTTTCGGATCTTCGGGAACTAACCTCAACACCGCTCATCCTATCATCATGTCTAGATCTTGGGATTCCCAATGGTTGAACATTCTCCAGATAGGGAGTACAATACTCCAAAACCTCTTCATCAATCACTTTGGACGACAAACAGTGTAGTCTCTACGAAACCCTTTTGTAAACAAGTGTTCGAGGATGACGTTAACATCAAATTCTTTTCGTGTGTTACGGCAGGTTGAACAAGGACAAAATATTCCTTCATGTCCATGTTGTTTTTGATGCGCCACAGCATCTTTTATAAAGCCGTTAACACCTTCCAGGAATTGAGAAGTATTCCGCCGTCCATACATCCAATTACGATCCATCATAAACCTGTTTATTTATATTCCATTATAGCAATCATTTTTCATTGATTTAATTTAGCGACCTAAATTAGACTCGCAGTTTCAATGTGCATATATATATATATATATATAGTCAAAAGGTCACACTATTTAAACACATAGTGATAATTAACTACACAAACTAAAAAAAATTATAAACATACCAAACTATGAGAGTAGGACAATGGTGGAAGGATAGAGCCCAAGCAACAATGTTTTAATCTTCACTCAATCAAATCGATCAACCCATAAACCTAATTAAATTCACATGCATATTCATTTAATTAATTACAAATTAATTATAAGGGATTAATCACATGCATACAAAAATGAAATATTATTTGTTATTCATAGTAAATTAACATATTAATATTATTTTTAATGAATTGACATACACAAGTAGATATATTATTAGTTTGGTCATTAGTATTATAATTAACTTATAACACAAAAATTTATAGCCAATGAAATAAAAAAGAAACTTCTAACTATTTTTTACCTATTATTCTATTGTTAGAACAAACAAAAACAATCTAAAATTAATATTAATGGAATCATATAATTAATCATTTCAAATAAATAAGTAAAAGGAGTAAATCTAAAAACTTACAAAGTTTAGCAACGAAAACTACTAAGTTGAGCAAGGCGGATAGTTGACGTAAGCCTCGTCGCCGGTGGGAGAACCAAGCTCTGCCTACGGAAGCAGCGGTCAAGAAGACGGCCACCAAGCGCGGCCCGCGTAGGCCGTCCGAGGATGGCCTGAACGCCACCAACAAGATGCCCTCCGCCGTCCAAGCCCGACTTCGTCCGTCGCAGCGCTGCCGCCTTTAGCCGGCCGAAGCTGTCAGCCTTCGTCCTGCACCACCTCCCGTCCGTCGTGAGTCGCACTAGTCCGCCTCGCTCAAGGTCCGTCTCTAGCTCGCCGATCACCAGTCGGCCGCCGGTTGCCCTAGGTTGAAGGATTAGCTTGTCTCGTTTTTACTCCTTGGCTTTGGAAAGTGTGGCGAGAAGATAGATCGAAGCCGCGTATTAGATTAATTTGGGGAAAAACAATTTGTGGCGGTTCTAACAAAAAAAAACCGCCGCGCGGCCATTAATTTTTTTCAAAATTCGAACTGGTTTGCGTCGGTTGTTACACCATAACCGCCGCGCGTCTTCCAACTTTTCCGTCTCTTTTTTTTTAATTTTTTTGGCGTCGGTTTCTACACTAACAACCGCCGCGAACTTTATAAATAAAAAAGAAAATTAAACAACGGCGGCGGTTTTCTAGATAACAACCGCCGCGCATCTTCGATCTGATTATTTATTTAATATTGCGGCGCTTGTAATAGAACCGCTGCATATGTTGTGCCGCAAATCGACGTTTTTCCACTAGTGTTTGAATTATTTTTTGCACGCTTTGTAGCGGTTTTAATGTAGTTTCTGAATATGTAAATTTTATTTTCTAAAACTAATTTGAGTGTAGACAATAATCAATTTACTTTACTGTCGGAGTATAAACCGTAAAGTGCCTTACAATTCGGGACGAGGAGTATAAACCAGTGAGGTTTCTAATGAATCAAATAAGAATGAAGTTAAAGTATTTATTTATGTAGGACATGAAATGAAAGATAAAGTATCAGTTCTTTTTCCCTTTTATGGGTACCTAATAACTAACTTAAATATGTGTATTTGATTATATTTTAGAGTAATATTATTAGATGTTCCCGTTATGGAAACATCACAAATATAAGAGTGTATCTAAAATCTATTGTTCTATATAGTAAACTTGAGTTAAAATACAATGATGTGTCAATCTCTAATTGGTTAATTACATCTTTTTTATGACTACTGTTAAAATAATTAATGAATTCTAATTGATTCACGGCAACTACCGTCAATCGTGATTCGTGAATAACAACGGCTGCATAAAGGACTCTCATTTGGAGCAAAAAAAACTATTTTTTTAAAAAGTGACATAACTTTTGTGTTTGTACTCCAACTTTTACAAAACATATATCAAAATTCATAATTTTTTTATGATCTTTCATATGACACTAATATTGTCATATATAAAAATAAAAAATTATTATCAATTTTTTTAAATAAAATAAAGCTGAGTTAGAAATTTTATTTGATAACAAAAATTCTATTACCCTTCCTACTACAACATTTAATTTATTTAAGTTGACTCGGTTCATCATTGCTATTTACTCCGTGTACTCATTTGGAGAAAGAAAAAAAGAAAAATTTCCTTTTTTGTATTTCAATAATTTTTATAAAAAATACATCTAAATCCATAACTTCTTATGATATTTCATATGACACAAATATTGCATATATAAAAAATAAACTACTTTTTTATATAGTAAAGTTGAGTTAAAATAAACTACTGTTTTATATAGTAAAGTTGAGGAGTCAATCTCTCATTGACTAACAAAAATAATTAATATCAATACTTAAATGTTACAAAATACATACGAAAAAGACTCCCAATATTTTCAATATCATCAAATACGTAATAATAGGGTTTTGACTTTTCAATGCTTATCAAATGAATTTTCAATGCAATAAAGCACATGCGAATAGGACTGTCTATGATGATGATATGATGATGATGGACAAAAAGAGTTACTAATAACTATTAGTGACTATAATTATGTTCAAACTTTACACCGTAGTAACTTACATGTAACTACTAAGATTTGAATCTGATCAGAATTATAGTCACTAAGTAATATTTTTGTTCATCATATTTTAAAAAATAATACTAATGAATTTTTTGTCATAATAATAATAAAAAAACAATAATAATAATAACAATACTAATAACAATAGTAATAATAACAACAACACTCTGTAATAATTAATATAATAATATATTATTAATAATAATAGTAATTATATCCTAAGTCTATCCTCATAGTAATTAATATAGACATTTGTATAAATTGAAGTATGCATAATTATTTAAATATAATTTATTAGCATAATATCACAAGTGAATGGACAACTAGAATAAAATTAAAATAAATCCGAAGCTAAAACTATATGCGAACAAAGCATTGATGATCGAAATATTTTGTAGAGGAAAGCACAATATTTTTTAGAGCAAAAAACTTATGCTACGTATAAAATATCAACCCCAGTAAGAATCACAACTCCCCAAGATCTTAATTCAAATTCTAAAGAGGATACTCATATTAACAATCATCTATAACTACAATAACAACAACAACAATAACAACGGCTATTATTTATACATTACACTTTTATTATTGTTCAGTTATGCACAACTGCAAGAATAACAATAATGTACTCTCACCATCCCAATTTGTTTTACAAAAAATGGTGGACGCGGTTGATTGAATATAAAGATAATCTTTCTCAACTTCTTTTACAAAAACTATATATCTACAAAATATATTAATTAAAAGTTTTATTGAAACGCAAATGATCACATATTTAAAGTGATTACAAATCTACAATCAAATTAGAGAAATAATAAAATGATATTGTATCAACCAAGAAAAGTAAATTAAAAATAATTTTGTGATAGAAAAATGGGGACATATGTTTTTTAGTCCCATAGCTTTTGAGCATATTTGTGAGTCCCGTAACTTTTGAGCGTGTTTGTTATTAATCACGCAACTTTACTCATTTACATATTTGGATGTGTAATCGCTAAATTTGTCCACATTAAAGACTTTTCGGTCGGAAATAGACTTTTCGTAGTAAAAATCAGTAAAGCGAGCATTGGCGTCAACTTTCAGGACTAAATTTAATTTCCTCAATAAATACATGAAATTTACTACAGTCATATGTATTAAGACTTAAAAGCATCTCCAATGCTAAAACGTTAACGGTGCATACGTGACATGAGAAATAACCAATCAAAAAAACAATAAATAGATTATCTCTCTCCTCATTTGAAGAATCTTACATCATTTTGGTAAGTTTTTCTTCACAATGTCAAGCACAATGTCTAGATGTAGACATTGTGGTTGACATTGGAGACATTGTGGTTCCATTATGTAGTGTAACCGCATCAGGCCAATGGAGGTGAGATTTGATTTCACTTGGAAAATCTCTCTACTACCTAACCCAATGAAATAACGTGGCTGCAACGGGGTCATATCAGATCGTATCAGAATATCAACACGAATTATTTTCTTATTTTTTTCTAACGTAAAAATAAATTACATCGCGTCGACCAAAATACGCATCGCAACGGCCGCAATAGCCGCAACCACAGTGACCGCAATCAAAACGCTATCACAATCAAAAAGTGTGATACTCCGTATAGACTAATTCACTCATTAAAGAGTAAATATATAATATACGATGATGAATAATTTAATATATATTCATTTTAACAAATACAAATTAATTTTGATTATGGTTAGATCATAGTATTTTTCATTTAAACTCATTCAAATTTGACACGCAATACACCGGGGCATTACCCCGGGCTTTACACTAGTTATTCCATAATTTCAAAGTTCCGAAAAGATCATACGAAGTGGGAGCAATTGAAATATTCTAAAATATAGGAAAAATAATTTTTAATAATATCAACTGAAGATATATAAAAAATGATACTCCCTATATATGACAAGTTTTCACTAAAAATTTGGGGAGTTTTGAACTGATTCCGTTTATGCTTCTTTTTTAAAGCAGAAGCAGAGTCAAATCAGTTTTCAGAAGTTGGTCCCCCCATCTTCTAAAAAAACTGATTGTAAGAGTAAATTAGAGCATCATAATCACTTCTGCACTTTCACTCAAACACTATAATTTCTGCTTCTGCTCCCTGAAGAAGTAGAAACAGTTTTAAGAATCAGATGTAAACACCCCCTTAGTCATTTAACTCATCAAAAACTAATATCGATCACAACATCAAATAATTGATTGTATTTTCAAATATCATTTATTTGATGATTTGATATTGGTCTTTGATTAGATAATTGCTTGTAGACAAGTGACTTCATGCTATATTTGTTCAACAATCAAATAGTTGGTATTATTATTGATTTATGAATGATAACTGGTTAAAAATTATTTTTCTTAAAATATACGCATTGAGATATATCAAAGAGAAATGGCCCAACATAGGAGTAAAACAAGGCCCGTGTCCTCAAATAGGAGCCCTTCTTTTTTATTGCAAAAATAGGAGTAGCTTTAATGTGTCAGGACATGTTTACCCCTCTATCATTTAATGTATCCGTTTGTCTAAATAAAAGATTCGTCCTTATCTCCTCGGTCCGCTCCTCTCTCTGGTTCAAATCACCAAGTTAGATCTGCTCCATCCCTCCTATTCAAATCACGCATGGAAGGAACCTTTCTTAGCAGCAACTCAGGGAGCACCGTACTCACAAAATTAGATCTGCTCCCTCTCTCTCCAATTCAAATCATAAGAGAAAGCATGGGAGCAGGGCTTTGGTAGCAGCAACTCAGGAGCATGGTGCGGCACACAAGAGCTGAGTTTAGATGACGTGACGGAGGCACGCGGCGGCGGCGGCAATTGTGCGGTGGTGGAAGGCGACCCAGGTGAGCCATCTTCTCTTTTTTCTTCTTCTTCTTCTCCTCATCTTCTTCTCCTTTTTCCTTCTTTTTCTGCTCCTTGCTCCCCCCATCTCTGTTTTTCTTCAATCTTCTCTTGATTTTTTGTTATTTTTCATTATTATTTTTGTTTACTATTGAGATCAAAATTCTAACGGAATTTCTATTTTATAGCTCCAAATTATGGATTTGAAATTCGAACCCTTATGATTTTGACCAGAAAAATAACATTCTGAAAATGGAACTTCAAACACATACCATCTCCAAGTGATTGTGTTTCTTTTATCAGGATGGCATTAATATAAGATTATTGTAATTATAGTGCCTATTAGTATTATAATTATAGTGCCATGTTATTCAAGAAGAAAATGACATATCAAGATGGCAAAATCAAGATGGCAATATCACCTGTGATTTTTGGTTTTACTATTTTTTCCTTGCATTTTGATTTTTAGTTACATCTTATCTTAAAGTGCCACCATATCTTACACATAAAAAATGCCATCTTTTTGTCTGGAAATGCCATATTTTTGTACGTGGAAATGCCATGTTCTTAGACTTGTAAATGCCATATTATTTTCTTATACCCAAATGCCATTATTATTTTAATAACAAATAAATAATACTACGTATTTCATTTTTATAAGATGGCAATTAACATTACTGAAGGAGAGAGTCAATATGGTGGAGATGGTGGTACATCTGAAAAATGTGGATGCAGCTGCTGATAATGCTCTGTCGACGCCGGATGAACACTTGCCGGAGGAGGTGGCGGCAGATGACGGCGGCGGATCCTTAGAGGCGGCGGACTTGCTGGAGGCTTGCGATTGTTCTTCCAGATGGCAGCGACTCTCTGGAGACCTTCGGCGGCGGACTCGACGGACTCGCCCGACGGCGGCGGACTCGCCGGACGGTGGCGGCGGCGGCGAAGTCCCTTGAGAACTGCTGAACAAAAGGATGGGAGGCAGGGGCGGAGTAGTTCTAGGGCTTGTATTTGATTTTAGCTTATTTTTTCTGTTTTAGCTGATTTTAATTGTAAACAAATATGGACTTCATTAAGGGTATTTTAGTCAACTCATTACATCGTTACTCCTATTAAACTCCATTAAACATTGAACTCCTATTTATGCACTTACTCAATGTTTTACTCCTATTAAAGTAATTATCCCTATATCAAAATATATTCAAAATAAATTCTGAACCTTTCAAAATATTAAATGATCGGGAGTTATATATTCCAAAACTGGTCGAACTGAAAAAGGAAAATTAATGATTTTCATTTCTCAGAAAAAGAGAATTGTTAATGCGTGTCCAAAAGTGACCAAAATACTATACTTTACGTAGTATAATATGTTTTTTTGAGTAGCCTATTTGACATTCCAACACGATTGCAGTGTGAAAAAGTAGAGTAAAATTTTTCAAATATAGAAATATGTCAAATAATTAAGAACTTGCCAAAGAAAATATCTGGCTACTATAATTATTTATTCCTATTTATGCTATTCCAAACTTGTAATGATCTGCGCACTTCCCCTTTTCCCAGCAAAACTTTTTTTTTGTATAACAAATTAAATACCGATTAACAAATAACTAGTATTATCCTTATTATAATAATAATTATTATTGGTATTGTAATTGTGATAGGGGTTGCAGATGGGTGAGAAGAGGGGTTCTTCGTCAGTGAAGAAGGCGGGGCTGTTGGCGTGGGTGAGGAATCGGTCGGCGAAGGTGAAGATCTTCTTGGGGGTGGCGGCGGCGCTGGCGGCTCTGGTGGCTCTCAGGCTCGCCGTCAAGGACCGGAACCACTTCTTCGTCGCCGCAGAAGCCATCCACTTCGCCGGAATATTGGTCTTGATTTACAAACTCATCCGCAAGAAGACCTGCTCTGGTAAGTGGTAACCCCCAAATATATATACACTGATTTTGAATATATTTATGTCCAACAAATTAAACTCGCCTTTCAGTGGACTTGAGAATAATCGTACGATTTTGTAGTAAAATTGGACAAGAATAATTTCTAACTTTGTCAAAAACTTTGTCACCTTCTAATTAAATAATGTGTAGGTCTGTTTTTCTCACCTTTTTACGCAATTATAAATCATACTCCGTACATTATTATGATTATTATTCATGTTTACTACGGATTATTATTTGAACAATGTTAAAATTATTCACTACACATCATGAATTTAAAATAGGGCCACGAGGCCCGCTGCGACCGCAATATTGCGATTGCGTGTGTCACCGGCCACCGCAATCGTGTTGGGCCCCAATGACGGGTTTTTTGAATTCACAACGCAAGCACATCCGGTCGCATCCAGGCCAACAGCATTGGGACCACAACGCTAATCCATTTTTTCCTTATTTCGTTCTGAAGAAAAATTTATTCACACTGCATCGGCCGCAATATGCATTGTAGCGCGGCAACCACAGTTACCACAACCACAATCGCGACAACGACCACAATTTAAAACTGTGGTACAACTATGCAAAATGTACTGAAAATGGATAATTAGAACAAAAATAACCCCTTTCTCCTTCACATATGAAAAATTGTTTTGAAAATGTTTTTTCATAAAAAAAGGCTACTATATTTTTGTAAGAAATTCAGGAGATAAAGAGATTAAAAAACAAGGCTACTATCCAAAACATAATTTTGTTGTCGACCAATTCAGTTTCTAAAATACATGTATAAATTAAGCATGACAAGCAGGAGCGTAGCTAGAAGTAAGATTTGGGTTGTGCCGGTACAAAGAATTTTTACAGATAAATTTTTACACGTAAATTTTTATATTAAAAATATAAGCAATTTTAAAATTTGGACTGGACCGTGGCCCGGTTGGCCACCCCTCCACCTCTGCCCCTTATGACAAGGTCGTGGTTGTTGTAGCATGCACTCACCTCCGTTGGTATGGTTTGAACTAATATGATATGGATTTTTTAAGTCTGCTCTGGTTTACACTTTTTCAGTCTAGTGTAGACTAAACCAATTATAAATTTCCATAGGCTATGTCGGGTTATGTTGTCGCCGGGTGGACCTTGGAGAGATTTGAGTCTCTCCCAGCTATGGAAGTCAAGTAGGATGCTCTACCAAATTTAACAACTGGATCAAAAAATTATTAGAAATTACTTTAAATAAGAATAAAATATAGACAAACTGCATATAAGTAGGACTATTCATATTTTATTTTCAAAATATGACTTATTTGATCATATTAAAAGTATCAAACTATCCCAATTAGAAGTGAAGAAATTGTAGTAGGAAGAAAATAATACTCGTCATATTTTTGCATTTTATGTATGCTTTAATCTTATTTATAGCGAATTAACTAAAAAATTAACCGTCTAAATGTATGAACCATGTTAAACACAAATTTTGATGCACCGAGGCGTAGCGCCATAGCTCACTTTAGAAGATATCTGGAGTTCAACTCCAAGTAACGGCTTGTACTGGATCCTCATTCTCTTTTCACCATGTGATAAAAGTTTAATTTACATTCTCCCATAAGATTAGCTAATTTTTTTCTGACTTGTCCATATGAATGAGGATCTCATTCCACCTTTGAGGGAGAGGAAGACTAGAAAACTTTATGGAGCACTCTACTCCACCATAGAGTTCGATATTATGTGGTTTTAGTGTAGTCATGATAGTCGTTGACTTAATTAATACACTTATCGCCAAAAGTTTAATTATTCACCATTTTTTACACCGGGGGATGATCTATTATGTAACAACCAAAGGGTAATTATTATTAGACTCATGACGTGCATATATAGCTCCGCACGCTGGCTAAGCGGTCCAGCTCAGCTGGTCGCCGACTCATTCTCCTTTATGGGAGGTCTCGGGTTCGAAGCTCAATGAAATTAGTTTTCAGACTCCCAGCCAGGCCGGACCCATGAAATTCATCTTGCACGGGCCATAATTTAAGAGTTTTGCTAAGTGGACACATTTTGTGTACACAAAATGTGTACACCAAGCATTTTTCATAATTTAAACAAAAAAGTTCTAAGCCCTGGCAAAAATCATATTTCATGTATATATATACTTCGTACTAAAAACAAATCTTGCAGGGGCAATGACTCCCTGAATCTCTACTACAGTTCGCTCCTTCCCCCAGCCCCTCCCCAGATGCCACCTGAAGTAAAAAAGGAAAAAAACAAAAAGTTAAAACAAAAAACCTCAGCTCGCACGCCTCTTTGTTATACTGAAATGGTACGAGGCTCCATAAAATTTTGAGGGCTGTCTTTGGTTAAGGGTAAATATGTACGTAGCATATATTAAGTGGCCGAACACAAAAACTAATTCAGGTGTGCTAATGTGATCTAATGAGAGAAATGGAAGAATTTCATACATTAAATTTGAGAATTGTGCATAATGTATAATGAGAAAATAAATAAATAAATCCTTTTTATGTCACTTCAAGTTGTACATTTTTCGAATTCTATAGTTACATGAACTTGACTCAAGTCATCAAGTAGCTCATAATGCTACTTTTGCATGTGCACTATTCGAATCTCTTGCATGAGTTGCATCTCTAGCTAGGTTGAACTTTATAAAGATTAAATCATCTAATCTCAAATTGAATGGATACATTGATACACATTTTTGTGTACATCCCATCCTCTTACCTCATCGTAGGTGAGAGAGCCTTTGTGGTATTGAAGAGATATTGTTGTTGTTGTTGTGAGTTTTGGAATTCTAAAATAAGATCGCAAAATAAGACTAATAGATAGTATGTTTTTCTTCCCGAAATAGGAGACAGTACTATAATGATTAAAAATTACAGTTATGATTGAAAAATATTGTCATTAATGATAGTAATTACTTTCATGTTTAATGTTTAATACTACAACTACTTGGCAGTAATGACTACAAGTCTACAAGATAACAGTAGATATTGTCATGCTACTCTTATTTCGGGAAGAAACACACAACAGTTCTAGTTTCGAATTCTCAAACTTGTTTACTCTTATTTCGAGAACTTTCCTTTACAAAATTTGTGATCACACATGGTAATTTATTTGTTGATCTAACTTCTGCCATTGTATTTATTAGGGTTGTCCCTCAAGTCTCAGGAGCTCACAGCTCTATTTTTAGGTATAAGATTGTACCTCAGCTTTATTATGGAAGCTGACATACACACCATGCTAGATTTCGTCACACTTGTCTCAACTTTGTGGGTTATATACATGATAAGATTTAAGTTGAAGTATACGTACATGGCGGAGCTAGACAAAACACCCATATCCTACATAGTACGTAAGCATTTTACTTTTTATATTAAAAAAAATCCCCTATATGGCTATATATTATCATTATTTCGATTGATTCCATGCTTGAATATTTGGGCCATTCTTGCTAGAGTTATACACACAATGTATATATTTGCATTGTATTGTCTGTTATGTGAAGTTTTTATTTCATACTAGTTTATAGCTATCTTTGTGTTTGTGTAAGCAATAAGAGTTAATCGAAACTCGTTTTCGAAACATTAGGTATAGGGTAGTATTTGTGTTTACATGGGGTTCGTATTTTATTTTAAGATAATAGAGAAAATACTACGAAGTACTCCATATATTATAAGGGTTTGTGTTAGAAAATAAAAGTGAAGTTTAACAAAAAAAAAGTATTGGTACTTTTTGATGCATTAATTAGGTAAACTATTATATAAATAATGGAATACATTTGGAAATAATGACAAGAATATTACCCATGAGGTTTCAATAGACAAAAACATGACCATTTTACACAAAGACATAAAAGTGACCATTTAAATTAAAAAAGAATTACTTGCTCATCAGTTGGCCTACCAGTGCCATACCGTCGATCTTTCTCTATGCACCATATTCTTGTCCATCTGCATCGCCAAGCCGCCAAACTGCCTCCGTCTTCAAGCTCTGCCCGGATCGGCCAGCCTAGCCGCCTCCATCTTCAAGCTCGGTCTAGATCCACCAGTCAATCCGCCTCCATCTTCAAGGTCCATCCTCCGTCTTCAAGCTCCGTCCAGATCCGCTAGCCTAGCCGCCTCCATCTTCAAGCTCCATCCTCAGTCTTCAAGCTCCGTCCAGATCCTCCAGCCAAGCAGCCTCCATCTTCAATCTCCGTCCTCCATCTTCAAGCTCTGCCAAGATCCGCCAGCCACCGCCAGCGCAGGTTCATACCTCGTCGCACTCTGCCATTGCAAGTCCGCCACCCACTGCCATTGCAAGTCCGTCGTCGGCCTTCTATTCCTCTCCTTCTGTCATGCATTAGAGGTGTCGTTAGATGGTCAGATCTGGTACCGCTAGCTAGGGTCTGAGGCAAGGTGGGGGTCATGGTTGTGGTGAATGGTGTTTAGCAGCTGACGACCGAGGTGTGGTTGGATCTGACGGCTAGGATTCTACTATTGGGCTATGAGGGCAGAACAACAAATTGTACAGAGGCTGAGCCTTGTAGGGGTGTTGGGAGGCTGAGGAGGGACATTAACGAGGTGGTGGCGGCCGGAGTAACTTCTGACGGATGGTGTCACCAGAAAATTTAATGTCATTGGACTGTGACAACGTCACTATACTGGCGTCACTGTAGCAGTGTCACTGTGGCCGGCGACGGTCTTCAGCAGACGGCGGTAACCGGCGAGAGGAGGTTGTGGATGTCACTGTATATGTGTCACTGCAGGGTGTTACTGTAGCTCGTTACTGTAGTTACTACATACTACTCACATTTTTGGAATTCAAAAAGGTCACTTTTGTGTCAATGGTCAATTTATTAGTAATATTCAAGTAAAAACCCCACTTTTAAGACATATCCACTTATACAACCGCTATATATTACATTGTCAACTCCTTGCTTATACATTGAAGTCATGGTTCCATCCGTTTTTGGTGTCATAACCATAAATTTAGATCACATGTTTGACATAAAATAATATAATGTCAATTTAATTAGCATTATATAATGTAGTTCATATATAAAATGTGTATTATTCATTTTCACAGATTGCGCCTTCAGCAGTTTTAGCTGTGTTTGTCCATCCATACACTGTTATTAATTTTAAAATCCATAGAATGGCATGGGCATTTTGTGTGTACTTGGAATCTGTCACGGTGCTGCCCCAGCTTCACATGATGCAAAAAGCTAAGGTCCATTATTTAAGCTTGCTGAATTGTATTTTCTATTTATTTTTGGTGTATATTATCTAATTAAAAGTGTTGTTGTTTATCAGCTTATTGAACCGTTTACAGCCCATTATGTGTTTGCTTTGGGTGTGGCAAGATTTCTTGAATGTGCTCATTGGATCATTCAGGTTGATATTGTACTGTATTTCACGCATTTTATGTATAGTCCAACTGAATAAAAAACAACATCCAAGCCTTAGTCCCAAAAGATATTGGGGTCGGCTAACATGAATCGATACATGATATCACCACCAAAAGGAAAAGAAAGAAAATAAAGATAAAAAAGATAAGCTATTATGAAAAAGATAATATAAAAAGAGATGAATATACCTAAAAAAAATACAAAATAAACAGGATAAAAATAATGTTTATATATATATAAGGATAAAAGGAAAAAAATTGAGGGGAAAAGATAATACGAGATAACTCCTCCGCATGAATACCCGCCCTCCACGTTACTCTCTCCAAAAGGAAAAGAAAGAAAATAAAGATTAAAAAATAAACTAATATAAAAAGATAATATAAAACGAGATAAGTATACCTAAAAATGATAAAATAAAAAGGACAAAAATAATGTTTATATATATGAGGATAAAAGAATAAAAAAAAACAAGAAGAAGAAAAATGAGGGGAAAAAATAAAACGAGATCAATCCTCCACATGAATACCCGTTCTCCACCTTGCTCTCTCCAAAGCCATACCCTCATCCAACCCAAAAAGAAGCATATCACTTCGGACTCCCCTAACCCACGTCTGTTTGGGTCTTCCTCTCCCTCTCTTCCCTGCCTCTTCTCCACACATCTCAACACGTCTGACAGGTGCATCACTCGGTCTTCTACGCACATGACCAAACCACCGTAGGGGAGACTCCTGCATCTTGTCTTCAATAGGTGCTACTTCCACCCTTTGTCTGATTTTGTCTCATTTCGCACGTGATCCTTCCTAGTATGCCCACACATCCAACACAATATGCGCATCTCTGTCACACTCATCTTTTGAATGTGACATTGTTTCACCGCCCAACACTCTATGCCATACAGCAATGCAGGCCTAATTGTTGTCCTATAAAATTTACCCTTCAGTCTAGTGGGCATACCTCTATCACATAGAAATCCTGACGCACTCTTCCACTTCATCCACCCTGTTTTGATTCTGTGGGATACATCTCCATCTAGCTCACCGTCCTTTTGAATTATGGAGCTCAAGTAACGGAGCATATCACTGACCGGTATCTTCTTACCATCTAGAGTAATTCCACTATTACCACTGCTTCTACCTCCACCAAACTTGCACTCCATGTACTTTGTCTTGCTCCAACTAATTCTGAAACTCTTGTTCTCCAATGTCTGTCGTCGTACTTCCAACTTTGCTTTAAGGCCTGATTGCGTCTCATCAATCAAAACAATATCATTGGCAAACATCATGCACCACGGTATTTCGCCTTGAATTGACTTCGTAAGTTCATCCATGACTATGACAAATAAGAAAGGGCTCAGAGCTGATCCTTGGTGCACTCCAATAGTAATAGGGAACTCCGCAGTCCTCCCTACACTATTAAGGACACTTGTAGTACAGTCCTCATACATATCCATGATAATGCTGATATACTTGCATGATATGCCTTTTCTAGTTAAGGCCCACCATAGAACTTCTCGAGGTACCCTATCATAAGCCTTTTCTAAGTCAATGAACACCAAATGCAGATCCTTGTGAGCGTCTTTATACTTCTCCATAAGTTGCCGAAGAAGGTGAATGGCCTCAATTGTTGAGCGATCAGGCATAAAACCGAATTGATTCTCTGAAATCTTCACAGTTCTTCGAAGTCTTTGCTCAATCACTCCCTTCCAAAGTTTCATGGTGTGACTCATAAGCTTAATCCCTCGATAGTTGGCACAATCTTGTACATCACCTTTATTCTTGAATAAGGGGATAAGACTATAAGAGTACTCTTCCTCCAACTCGTTGGCATCTTGTTGTTTCTCCAAATCATGTCGAAGAAACTTGTTAACCACGCGATGCCTCTCTCCCAAACTTCTCCAAGCCTCGATGGTATGCCATCTAGACCCACTGCTTTCTTCTGCCCCATCTTCCTCAGAGCCTCTTTAACTTCCGTTGTTTGGGTCCTTCTCACAAAATCACGATTTACCATACAAACCGGTATGGTCAAATCACCGATATCTTGCGTTTTCTTCCCGTTGAATAGTGTATCAAAGTATGACCTCCACCTCTCTTTTATCTCTCCTTCCTTCATTAGTACCCGTTGATCGACATCCTTCACACACTTAACTTTTCCGATATCTTGAGTCATACGGTCATGAAGACGAGCAAGTCTGTAAATATCTTTTTCTCCTTCCTTAGAGTCCAATTTTGCATACAATTCTTTGTTCACTTTTCATCTTGCTTCCTTTACAGCTTTCTTTGCACTTCTTCTAGCCTCCTTGTACTCCTCTATGTTCCATTCGCTCCGACTTTTGCCCAATTTCTTATAGCATTCCCTTTTGATCCTTATTGCTTGTTTTACCTCATCATTCCACCAAGACGTGTCCTTTTTTGGTTGCAGACATCCCTTAGATTCTCCAAGTATCTCTTTCGCCACTTTGTTATAGATGGACTCCATTGGTAACCACACATCATCCACACGTGCGTCATTATCAATGGACCATACATCTTCCTCCAACATTTTCTGTGCAAAAGTTTGTTGGAGGTTCCCCTCGAGCCTCCACCACTTTATCTTTGGCTCCCCTTGTACCTTAACCCTCCTTCTCTTTTTACCTTGAAAATCAAGCACAAGCATCCTATGTTGAGTGACAACACTCTCACCTGGGATAACCTTACAATCAGTGTAGTTAGTTCTCCAAGTCGTTCGTACTAAAAAGTAATCAATTTGGGTACTATTAGCTCCACTTCTATAGGTCACAAGGTGAGAGTCTCTTTTCTTGAACCAAGTGTTCATCACAGCCAACTCATATGTCGAGGCAAAATCCAGAATGTTCTTCCCCGCTTCATTTCTAGTGCCAAAACCATGTCCGCCATGGATACTCTCAAAACCATCACGACTTGGGCCCACATGCCCGTTGAGGTCGCCTCCTATGACCAACTTCTCTCCCATTGGCACTCGTCGCACCACCTCTTCAAGATCCTCCCAAAATTGTCGAGTGATAGATGCATCCAATCCCACTTGTGGTGCATAAGCACTTACTACTGACACGATCTCATCTCCTATAAGCAACTTAATGCTCATGATGCAGTCGTTCTTCCTGAAGACTTCCACCACACCCTCAACATAATCATGTGTCACCATAATGCCTACTCCATTTCTGTTCCTTTCTCTCTCCGAATACCACAACTTAAAACCTCCGGGATTAATATCACGTGCCTTTTCTCCAACCCACTTAGTTTCTTGCATGCACATTATGCTGACATTCCTCCTTTTCATAACCTCAGCTATCTCAGATGATCTTCCCGTAAGAGAGCCAGCATTACATGTCCCAAAACGCAGTCTAGCACACTGCCTTCTCTTCTTCACACCACATCGACTCCCACCATGCCCTTGCATATTTGACACCATCCCCGGGCATTGGAGTGGCGTGACGCTTCCGGGCTTAGGGAGATACTACCATTACAGAAAAATTAAACTAACAAATAAGTGCTATCGAGCATGTATGACTCATATAATTAAATCAAAGCTAATGTTGTAAAGGTGATTTAATGTGTTAAATATATAGTCATGTATTGAATGTTTTTGTAGGTGTGTTTCTGCATGTAACATAATTCGAGAACTTAGTTTGTTTCAAGGTCTTCAACAACATAATAGATTTTAGTTGGACATGTATATGTACATAAATGTCATAATCTCCATAAAAACCAGCATATTAACTCATAGAATCTACGATTCTCATTGTTTGGTTTTAGGAGCATTTCATTGGGTCATGGCCCCTAGCTTTTAGGAGCATTTTTAGTGATAGAGCACTCCCACTACTCCTGAGAAAAATTATGATGTAAATATGTATGTATAAATATTTATGATCTATATAAACAAAGTGTGCTGGTATGGCCCCCGCTTCATAATTTTTTCAATCCCCCGCCTTCCTAACATTATATTTGTAGGTCTGCCAGACCGCCACTAGTTGTGTGGGAGGGTAAAATGTACCAACAATACCTTAGCTATCGATATTGATGCACTTTGATATTTAAACAATTAAATGACACAAATCACTATCATTAATACATTTAAGTGTTTCAAATGGTGTACCATTCATTCCAAGTTTTAGCTAAGGAGTTCTATGTCAAACACCACATGTAAATGTTTTTAGTTCAATATCTATCTAATCTTTTCATTTTACCTTTGCAATGTTTATTTGTAGATATACGAGTCTGGTGGGAGTTACTTGTATTTAGTCGGAAGTGGATATCTTTGGGTACCCGCTATATATGTAGCAGAAATGGTTCAAACGTTCATTTTGGCAGATTTTTGCTATTATTATGTCAAAAGGTAAGCTAATAACCTCCCCTCGTTTTATCCATTTGAAATTCTACCTTATCTTTGTGTTTTGCTAGTTCAATATTTTATTAAAATACATATGTATATTGGTGATGCAGTGTTGTAAGCGGAAAACTTCTCGTCACCCTCCAATCACCAGTCTAAGATTGTACGTGATAATATCTTAGAGTTATATATGTTGGCAATTGTAACGTTTGCTCATGTTCTATTTATACATGATTATTCAATATAGTTTGTGTTTCTTTTGGGTGTAGCAAAAACATGTACCTGGTTTTATTGAAATGGAATATGATAGATATTCTTACATAAAATAACACATAACAAAACAAAACTGGTAAGCATTGTTGCAATTCTCCAAGGGAAAGTTTCGTGTGAATTGTATGTTTAACCTCTTATGGTTATGGAAATTGGGGCTGATTTTTGTCATTGATTAAAGTGTTTGTGTTTTTTTTATATGAAGCAGCTGTCAGTCTACACAATTTTGACACGATTTTCATTATATGTCATCTGAAATAGGTCTTTCTTTGCTTTAGTAACGAGATAAGGTTTCGTACATCCGACCCCCCTTACCCTATCGTTGGTATGAGCCTTTGTGATGCTGGTGTAATGAACATACAAGCCTTATTCTGAATATTCTCAAAAGATCTTGTGGTCGACTAACATGAACCAATCCATGATATCAGAGTAACAAATTTAAGAAAGATAAGAAGAACTGCTTGATTATCTTTTCTTTGGTTGCTTGGAGAAATGAATGGATTAATTAGTACGGAGTATTTATTTGATGCTTTGACTATTATAATAAAATCACAATACATACAAAAGGCTGATTATATCAATGTTACTGTTGTTTGGTCATCATCATCATCATCATTATATAACAAAATGAAAATGAATCTAGTAAATGAAGTTGTCACCAAAAGAGAGTTACTGTAAATCTATGATTGTACGAAGCGTGAGAAATCTCCTTATTGAAAATAACATTACGATAATACAATGCCGAAATACTTTGTAAAAAACTTTGAGAAGTAAAACACGTAAAAATTTACTTTGCTGAAAAAGTTTAGTTATTGAGCATCTCATGGCCTATTGTAGGAGCTAAACTAGGTAACATTTTACAATGAGAATGATTCATTCACCAAAGTTGTAGGAAAGGAAGTATGCTATCCATCAAAACTTGAATCACCTATTTGAATCATCGAGTGAGAGGTATACATCATGATACCTCACCAGCAGCATCTGACTTTATCAGATGATTGGGTCTTGATACTTTCATATTCTGGTTATGACATCTTCACAACTTTTGTAGCTTATTGAGTTATAGTTCACATGAAATTAATGGAGTCAATTAGAGTTTTGTACAATAAGTTATACTTGAATTATGGGCATGACATCACCCTTTTGGTCCAGAAAACCGTTCATCGCAATACTCTGTGCTCTATATCTCATTCAAATGATATTTTCTTCAACAAATGCTTATAAACACTTATGTAAAATACAAGTAACTATAACAGCTAGCAAAGCCCCCCACATTTCTTTGTAATGATGCACAATTAGATAAAAGTTGAATCATGTGAATTAAGTTTTCAATAAGATGATAAAAATTAGATATAAAATCGTTAATTTTTCTCAGGCCAAAACCTTTTCCTATTACTTATGATAAATGCATTTGATATTAAGATAAATATTTAAAATCATGATGGGTTTATTTTGTGACAATTTAGGCAATGTGTGACGTACATCGATTGCTTTTTATGGGTTCACAACTTGTTTTTTAGAAGACTATTAGAGGAGAACATGAGTTTTCTTTCTTTTTTGTTTTTTCTTTGTTTTTAGTTTTTTTTTGTATATAGACTCATGTGTTGAGACTCCTTAATTATTTATTTGGTTTGTCAAATATGAGGATAATCCAACAATATAGAGTGAATTGAATTTGGGATGAAACTTTTCTTTTGAATTTGCACTTTGCGCACACTTTTATGAATTTGGAGAATTGTCACAACTTTGGGTGAAAGAGACGGTTTCAAGAGTAAGAATTACTTTAATTAATCTAATTTTTTGTGCACATAAAGGAGGATTTCTTATGACTAAAAGGAAAATATCAAAATTTTCTCAATCTAAATTTCAACTTTGACTAAAAGGAAATATATCTCAATCAAACCCTTAAAAGAGAGAATATCAAAATTTTTAACCTTCTTAGAAAAACATTGCAAAGGGGAAATATATCAACTAATCCATTGTCCTCAATGTAGCTTGGAGAATGCCATGGAGGATGAAGTCTTCAATAGTGATGTTGAGATACTTTTTTTTTTAATGTTTTTATGTTTTTTTGTGGGTTGCCTCCCAATTACCATATAGTTTAATGTCATAGGCCCAACAAACGTACCTCTCTTTATAGTGGAGGGTGTATGACTTTTCTCCGGTAGAATTTGATTGTTGTGCTTCCTTTCATTGGGTAGAGCTTTGGGAGACCTTCGTTGTATGCCAGTGTGATCTCAAGTACGTCTTCATATGCATCCTACTTTTTATTTGCTCCCTGTCATCTTTATCGATGCGTTCTAGCATAAAGAACTCTTGCGATCTTAACCAAATAAGAAAATGATTATACCTCCTTTGGTGACTTAAGAATGGTGTTTCGAGAATGACGGGGGTCGGCCCTTCCTCCATATATGTCAAATAAAACAAATTAAGTCGGTGGAGATAGTTTTCCAACTACGTACATTATCACGGTAGGGATTGCAATATATTAGCGTAAGTTTTGTCATTATTTTTTACTGAAGGACGGGAGTATATTTGCTGAGATTTTGAATATAAGATTTTGCAAATTGACTCAAGATATTGAGTGTTTGACAGCAAGAGACCGCCCTCTGATCTTGGATACACTACATTCACACACCGCTTTATGTGTGTGTGTTGTACATTCCAAGAAAACTTTTTTTGTCGGGTTACAAACAATATCCTTTGAAAACTAACGTAAAATGTGTTAATTAACCGACGTTATATGTTCAAATTGTAGTAGTGATCTTTTTAATGAATTGAATGATCCATCACTTGTAGTACCATGGATGTTCGTTGAAGTTTCTTCTTCACCATTTCAAGTTTATTAAATAGGGGCAATGGCATAAGATTCACTGTTGCCCCTAAGTCACGTACGGAATTTGTAGAAGCAAACTTCCCAATGGCACAGGAGATGGTAAAACTCTCAGGATCTTTCTGTGTAGCGGGTAACTTCTTTTGAATTCTTGAACTAGTTTCTTCATTGAGGTTGGTTGAAGTTACCTACTCAAGTTTTTTCCTCCCCGATATGAATTCTTTTGATAATTTTTTTAAAATGAAGGAATTTTCACAATGGCATCGACAAAAGTGATGTTTACAGAAATTTCCTTAAAGTAGTTCTAGAATTTTTTTAACTTTTGTTTGTCAGGGTCTCTTGTTAGCCTTTGAGGAAATGGAGTACGGGGTCTTATGGTGATACCTTCGGAAGTTGTGCACGGAGAATTCCTTAGGTTTGCCGGCACTACGATTGTTCATCTTCTCCCGTCATAAAAGTGATTGCCGTCACATCTTTAGTAGGATTTGTCTCGGTGGCACTTCACAATCTTCCCCATTCAATAGAATTTCTTATTAGAGTAAGTTGAGAAATTTGTACCTCAAGATCGTGAATGGAGCTCATTGTATATAGCTCAAGGTTGTCCATCAGTTGATTTAGCTTCTTGTTTTGATCTTCAACTCGAGGGTCAAACTTAGTAAATTGGAAAAGGAGGTTCCCAACAAAGGCTTCAACTTGGTTGTGGTTGACTTCATTTTGAGCCTTTATGCAATCAACATTTTTTGTGAGGATTTTCACCATTTCCTCCATCATTGTTTCTCCTTAATTATGATTTTGAATTGTTGCTTTGATTCCATCGTTGTTGATTATTATTGGAAATAAGTGTTGCCTTTTTTGTTCTCATTCCTTCAACGATTGGGAATAATTACCTTTTGTTTCTGCAGCCTTCTCCACATTGGTAACATGTTTGACTCATTCGTTTGGCAAGGCCATTTGAATTGAAAGTTGTAGGTTGTGTTTCATGGTTTGTTGAAAAATAGCAAACCACTATCTAGCTCGATCATGAGTTATGGAGACTTTATTTACACCGGCAACCTTGATATCTTCTCCTTAAAATTGAGGATTTGCGACAATAGATCCACGAGTTCTAAATGCATCGACTTCATTCTTGTTTTCGATATCCATTATGGCTTGACAAGAGGGATTCACCCCATTATAAAATGTGTCGATTTGGAGTTCAAGAGAGATTCAGTGATAGGGACACTCCCACAACATTGACTTAAACACTTCCATGCGCCTTGAAGTAATTCTCCAACCTGTTGTTTGAAATTGAAGATTTGTTGTCTCAACTCACGTGCCATTATTGGTGTATAATATTTGGAGAGGAAAGTGTTGTAAATATATTCCCATGTTGTGTAGATCGTCGATGGTTGTTTAATAAACCACCCTCTTGAGTGGATTCTCCCCCGGGTAAGCATGGAATTGAGCCCGACATACGGTGATCACTAAGACTTTGATCACTATAACTTTGGTCACCGTAACATTGGTCACTATAGCGCTATCTTTGTCACTTTGTCAATGTAGCACTGGATGTAGTCTCCTGTTAGGATGTTTTTACTTGAACTGAAATTTGCTTATCTAATCTGTTTAAGTCTTGTCCGATTTAGTAAATGTCTGGTCCCTGTGTATTTTATTATTATGGAAGTTTGGTCAGGTCTAGTATAATCTGATATGTGTAAGTCAAGTCTGGTCTGGTATGAGACTGAAAATAGTCCAAGTAAAAACATCTCTTATGCATTTTAATCACATTTTTAAAAACTTAACAAAAGGTCCCTTTTTTGTAATATCTTGTCCTAACTCCTAACTCCTGAGTCCTAACTAGACGTGTACAAAACCGGCCCGGCCCGCCCGGCCCGCCCAACCGGCCCGCACAAATGGGCGGGCTTGGGCATATATATTTACCCACCGACCCGGCCTGAGCCCGGCCCGCAATAACATATGGGCGGGCTTGGGTTAGGGTGTAGGCCCGTTCGGGCCGATAAGCCCGGCCCGCTACATTTAGTGTGTGTATATATATATATATACACACACTAATTTATTTATTTATTTACATGTACACATGTATATTTATATTTACTAATATAATTTACCTTTATACATATTTATAGTTTATTATATGTAAATTTAAGTTTTCAGTTCTTAACAACTAGCCCAACTAATATAGTATCTATTTTTGTACTTAAAGATACTACTTTTTGCTTGAAATTTAAATTTTACATATAGTTTCTCATTATTATTTTTATGTAAGTATTATGTTTGTATGTGGTGAAAAGCCTATAAATATTTTAAGCGTATTAAC